GCAGGGCTTGTCCCAAGGTAGCTGGAGCCTTACCAACAAATATGACCAAGACATGCAGCCCAGCAGGGCCAAGAGAGTTGTTTAATAGGCACAAAGCTTTCAGGGTGCCAGACACACTCCCCAGAGCATCACTGTGTTGCTGTGCTGTGCCAGGCTCCCATGTCCCCTGCCTGGGGGATGCTTGGCAGGGGTGTCACATGGAGAAGCCGGGTGCGAGCAAGCCCTGGGACAGGGGACAGGGAACATCCGTGATGGCTCGACCAGGTTTCTGAGTTGTCAGAGGGGTGGGTGGGCAGGATGAGGGGGTGGGGGCATCCTCATCCTCGCTGTTGCCCCCCAAATCCCAGCAAGCTGAAGCCCTTCCCAGGCTGCCAGCACAGCCCCACCACCACTGTCCACATGTGGGTCTGGGGCATGGCATGAGGTCCCCAAAAGTGGTCCCAGGCTACCCCCCAGGAGCTCATCTGCCCACACACTGCCAGCAGCCCCCTCCTCACGCTCAGGTCTCAAAGGCCGCTGTCACCCCACAGCACAGGCACGGCCGGCAGCAGCTGTGTCGCGGGAACGGCACCGGGGGCAGTGAGTCTTGGCACAGCCCCGCCGGCTGCTGGGTGACCGCCTTCTCTTTGCATGAGCCCTTGGTGGCCAAGTCGGGCTGGGACCTGCCAACCACCCGGGGATGCTCCTTGTCAGCTTTGACGGTGAGAAAGGTGGCCAGGTCGAGGTCAAGCATGGCGACACCGCCACGTGGCGTGGGCGTATTTTGGCGGCACTGCGGGCAGGGGATCCAGTGCTGCTCATTGGCGACGGCATCAAGGCGTTTCAGGCAGGCTGGGCAGAAGATATGGCCGCAGTAGAGCCGGCGCGGCAGCCGGCCACACAGGTCGTAGGAGGAGTAGCAGATGATGCACTCAACCCGCTGGCTGCCCCGGCTTGGGGTGAGCGAGTGCGTCCCGACACACAGCCCTGCATCCTCCGCCCGGGGGCTGCTGCCAGCCTGGGACATGCTGGGGAGGGGAGGGTGAGAGGAGCCATCAGACCAACGGCCCGGGTGTGGGATGCCAACTCTGAGCACATCTGATGCGTGGGAGACATGGGGACCAGAGCCATGTGGGCAGGTCCCTCCCTGCCCAACATCCCTGCCTGCTGCCTGCATGCCTCATGGTCAGCCCTGCGTAGAAAAGCAGGACCCTGCCACTACAGATGGCTCTGCCTGCATCCAAGGGGGACGCGTTTTCCCTGGTGCCTCCCTGCATCTCTGCTGGGAGGTCTGCCAAGCGCCCCTTATGTCCTGTGAGGGATCAGGACTGGTTGGACCTCAGCAGCCTGCCCGGGCTCTGGGCTGGGGGGGATGTGGGGTGGGTAGGAGTGTGTAAGCCAGGCAGTGCCACAGCCCTCGCCATGGCACAGCTGTCAGCAGTGGGGGACCAGGGAATGGGCACACAGGCTGGCAGGGGGTACTTGAGGAGCCCAGCCTCATCTTAAGGGGGGCGGTCTGGTACCCACCAGCATATTTGCAAACCTCTCCTGGAAGCCACCGCTCCCTCTCTGCAGGTGACCTCAAGCATTTTGATACGTGCAGGCATCACTCTCTTCCCCTCTTCCCCTGTCCCCCATCCCTACCTGTCCTGAGATGCTCCCCCAGGACCTCAGGGGAGGAGGTCGCAGAAGGGCTGTGCCGTTCTGGGGCGCTGCCGCCGTTCCGTGGGGAGCATCAGGGGCCTGAGCAACCAGCAGCTCCCCAGCCAGGTCCCAGCAGCTGCTGGTGGCTGTGGAAGTGGGAAGGGGCTCACCTTTCAGAGACAGACGCGCTATCGGATCTGCTGCCGGGAAGCCAAGCCTGGGAGATTGGGTTACAAGCAGCCAGATAACAAAGACCTCCGAAATCTAAGCCCCAGGAGCAGTCATTAACCATCCATCTCTGCTTCATTAGCAGAAGAAACCATCCCCGTGAGGCCAAGGAGCTCTGGGCTTCACTGTGGGTGGAGAGGGCTTGGACATCGACCATACCTGGATGGCAGCTTCAGAGTCCTCCACATCCTCAGCCATCTCCTGTGGCCAGGCACATCTAGGCAGATGTTGGCCCGCAGAGACACCCCATTGCACTCCAGCCCAGGCATCCCCAGGTGGCCTGGGCTGCAGGGACAGCTGCGACTAGAGGGAGGCTCCGGGGAGGGGGGGTGGAGGGGCTGGGGCTGGTGCAGGGACACTGAGGCTCCAGCCTGGTCTGAGCTGGCAGTGCCCACGCGTGGGGTGATGCTCCTCGTCCGGTGCCTGGGGGTGACCACTGCCACAGACACATCCTGCTCTTCCATCTGGGGCTGCAGGCTCTTGCACTGGGGGCTGAGTTACCCTCGGCTCTGCCAGAGCCATGCTCAGCACGAGGCTGGGGAGAGCTCAGCACCCCTCGGTGACACCTGCAAGGTTCATGACAATGCATGACCCAGGGGAGGTGACAGCACCAGGCTGGTGGCAGGTTCAGTCCCTGCAGCTTGCCAGCCCCCTGCACGGCCCTTGGTCTAGCAGCAATGCCACAGCCTCTGCACAGAGGGGAAGATTTAAAACAGGGCGTTTGGTAAGGGGACACATCCTGGACCCAGGATCCTGGAGAAGAAAAGCACATCCTGGAGCCAGGGCAGGACTGCCAGGACACCCAGCAGCATTTCTGCGTGGGAGCAGGAGAGGGCAGCAGCTCCTGCTCCAGGCAGGAGCAGGCAGTAATGCAGGCAGGGAGGCAGGCAGTGCTCTCCTGTGCTACCTGCTTACCAAACACTTCCGCAGCCCTGGGGCCATGTTTCCAGAATTCCTCAGCAGCAAGAATTGGGAGTTTTGGAAACCAAGAGCCTCATAGGGTCACCAGGATCTGCAGAAAAACTCAACACCTTGATGCCGGTGCTTGGGAGCAAGGCAGCAGAGCCAGCAGCACAGCCCCTTTCGGGGCACAGTGGTCATACCCTGACACAGAATCCTGATACATCCTCTGTCACAGGTTTCCCCAGGCAGTGCACGTGGGGTGCGTGTGCCCTTGGGTCCACAGGTGCGGGGATGGCACCCTATGGCAGGGCTTTGCCCTCCCCTTACCGGGCTGGCGGCAGGCAAGGGATGGCAGGGCAGCTGGCTTGGGACGGGGCTGTGCTGGGTCAAACCCACTGGCCGAGGTGGGGACAAGGGCTGTGTGCCCTGGGCAGGTCAGGAACCAGCTGCATGGGATTCCCACTGTGCCCTGACATCTCAGGGTACCACCCTGCGTGCCTGCAGGGTGGGTGGCAGCACCCTGGATGCCAGCAGCCAGGGCAGAGCTGGTGCCCAGACAGGCACAGCGTGCTCCCTCCAAAGCCGTGTGCTCAGGGATGTGCAGGCAGCTGGGTGCCTGGGGATGTTAGGGCATGTCCCAAAGCTGGCAAGAAGTCACTCTCCCACCCAAAGCACAGTGGTGGCCTGGCTCACGTGCCGCGGGGCAAGGTACGGAGCCAGCAGGCGTCAGTCCCTTTGGGCCATAGGAAGCCCTGCCCAAATAGACTGTATGGGTGAGAGGGATGGAATTGGCTCCATGCACAGCTGGGGGTACTCCTGGCACTGCCCAGGGGCACTGACCCTCCCTTGGCTGCCTCTCCTTGAAGAAATGTGTGCGCGCGCACACACACACGCACGCACCTTCCCTGCCCTCCTACCGTATTCCATCCCCTGCCCATCTGCCCTCGTGTCCCCCTCCCAGATGCCAGCAGAGCAGTGTCCCGTCAACAGGCTGTGCCCAGCTGCCCTCAGCCACTTCTGCCCATTGCGTGCAAGTCCCTGGTGCGGGATTGCACACCCCAGCTCACCCACCCTGCACCCCACAGGCAGGGCTTGGGGCGGGGGAGCCCTCGGTGACATGGGCTGTGCATCTGCCAAGCTGTGTAGGGTGACACGGAGGGGCATGCTGCCTGAAACCAGCTTCCAGCCCTGCCAAAACACCCAAATCCAGGCACAGAGAAGGCATAGCTGCAATCAGCAACTACATGCATGGGTGGGAAATATATTTTCTTGTTCCCAAGACTCATCCCTGAGAGCTGTAGGGACCTTTGGCACAGCGGGGCAGGGAGCAGCACCCTCAGGAAAGGGCAAAGGTCTGATCCAGATGAGCCAGAGCTGTGCATCACCACCCACGCTGCAGATAAAGGAGATGGCAATCACCCAGCACAACCCTTTGCACCCCTGAGCATTCGTGAAAGATGAAACACACCCATGGGACTCTGCACGCAGCTGCTCATGTCACCCTGAAGCAGAATCCCCTGTCCACTGTCCACACACACCACCACCACCACCACCCCCTGGCTTTCCTGCTGCCTCCAGCTTAATCATTGCCCCGGTGTCTGGCAGGCAGTGCTCTGCCCTGCCTGGCCTCTCCCACCTTGTTTGCCATTGCCCCAAGGTTAGGCACCATGAAGGGCAGCGGTGACACATGGCACTGCCGGCAGATGCTGCACCCTGCCACTGCCTTGCCAGGGCCAGGCCATCCCTCACCCCCACCCCTGCTGATGGCCAGCCCCACCAGCTCTGCCAAAGGCACCACACCCCCCTTGGGGACAGTTTTCCCTCCCCCAAACTGTGTTTCTCCCTGCAGAGCATGTCGGATCCCCAGGGCACCAAGCAGCCTCTGCGGGATCCAGGTTTCAGCCAAGACAACGTGGTGACACCACGTCCCTGCCCAGCCGCACGGCGGGGGGGCTCACTGCAGGGCAGGGCTGCCGTCGGGGCCACGAAAGCAAACAAGGGGTGGACCTGCCCGTCCCCATGCCAGCATTGCCCGCGCCCAGGCAGGACGAACAAGAGTGCTCCTTGTGCAGGGAGGGCGGCATGTAGCCGTGTCCCTGCCAACCTCCTCCGGCAAGATGCACACCCCCCAGCCACCCACCAGCATGGGACCTGGGCCAGGCAGAGGGGTCAGGGCTGGGGGGGGAACTGTCAGGGCTCCGC